GGGTGCTGTGTGTACATTAATGAGGAAACAAATGAACTTAAATGATTTTAGCATATGGCTGCAATATAACAAAGAGTGAAAAATTTAAGGGGGTCTGAATACTTTCCGTACCCACTGTATATAAACAGACAGACATTAAAACTGAAGTTAGAAATTTAAGAAATGCTAAATATGAACAAAGGGCGATTTTTTTTTTTCTTTGAAGATTTGGACTAATGTCTTAAAAATAATTGTTTTATTTTCAAGAAACCCATTAAGATTTAAGAATTATATAAAGCAACGGTTGGTGGCGATAATGCATTATGCTCCTTATGATGGCAAAGAGAGGAGGAGGAAGAAGAAGAACTACACTATGTAGTAGTAGTAGAAGAAGAATGCCTAGCATGGTTGCAATCATCAAACCATTAAAACGAAGAAGGGGAAAATCCTGCTGTTCGTGAAGGCAGCAGCGCGTGGAAAACAAGTTGTCATGGCTGAGGCGGTGAGTGTTTGACATATCTGTTGGTTTTATCGTTAGCTAACCAGGGAGTGGTGTCGAAGTAAGAAACTTATTAAGTGCTGCCATTAAACTTGCTTGGTATAAAGTCGATTAAGGCGTGAAGCCACAGAGACGGAGTAAACTGTCTCCAATGAATTGCTTATTATTTTTTGACATATTCACGTTAATCGAGGGGTAACCTGATATCAGCTAAAGTTATGTTTTACCTTATTTAACCCGAATTCGTCAAAATAAAAGCCTCCAGTTATCCCAGTCGTACTTGACACAAAGCGTCATGTGGCGGTGCTTTTGGTCCGCTAAACTAGCGTTTTTAAGCACGTCCGGGACTGTCGGGTCACGGCTCTGCTGTACACATTTAAAGCAAAACCAACCATTGAGTCACCACCGTTAGTCTTTTTTTTCCTTTTAAAAGCAACACTGGACCATGATACTTAGCAACACTTCTATTAAAGCCCTAATCTCAGCTTTATTTAGCATGTTCTTTTCGTTCTGGAGCACCAAGCAGAAATTTGTTAAATACTGCCTCCAGTGGCCGGAGGCACCCCCTTCAACTGGTCCGCTGACACCGAGAACCCAATCAAATCATTTAATCAATCATTCAGGAACTTTATTGCCAGTATATTAAAATACCATGCCCATGATGTCCACCAAATAAAACAGGAAAAAGAATAAGTTATATAAAAAAAAGTAAAACAACCATCTATTTCTAAATATCTACATATATGACATTTTATGTTTACATCTATAGATTACATCTATAAGTTATTGGACTGTGGTGTCTGCTGTGTCTTGTTATAAATATAAACATGAATCAACTGTTCATCAGAGCGATGGCCTGGGGCCTTGGTTTGGTTGTTTTTGCGTACAGTGACCTGTAATGCTATCTGGAGGGATCTGCAGAAATCTTCTCCAGCCAGCCATCCCTGTCTAGACACCTGAGCATGTACTGACCCACAGCCAGAGGAGAGAGAGGTTCTGGTCCACGGTCTCCCTAATGCCTTGCATAAGAGAGCCTCTCAATACACCCACTGTCTCTCTTCCCCAGGTATCTGCCAATGAGGCACAGGCTGTGAAACTGCAGCCCAAACGCAGGCGGATTCTTGACCCTTCAGCTATTGTTCCAGTGCCAGTTTACTCCAACAAGGTAAACCCCTGCACCAGTGCTCAGCAGTGACCTGAAGGCAGCTTTTCTGGCTCAACGTGTTGTTTTGTTGTCAACAGATTATAGTTTGTGTTGATATATTTGATGCTTTTATGCTTTAGTTTACTTAATTGGATTTGTTTTTAGGTAAACAGCAGTCTGCAGCTCAAGCCAACAGCAGCTATTTTCGCTAAAAAGGAGACCACAGGTAAAACCTAAGAGCTTTCATTGCTTGTAGTGTGGACAAAACAACTCAAAATGTTCAGCAAATGATTTTCCTGCTGTGAAGTTGATTGTTTCTTCCTGTGATCAGATGATGGTGCAGATGACGGATTACTGTCAGAGTTTTCATCTCAACAAACAGCAGCAGCTGACATCACCCTCAGTGACTCCGAGGAGGACGAAGCAGTGTGTGTGGAGAACAAACAAGAACACAAAAAAGTGTAAGTGTTGGAGCTAACTGCTTCATCCCTCCACAAAATGCCCTCAAATCTAAAGTGGCATTCATTTAAATTATGGAACCAAGTAACTTTCATAATAATTTGAATTCTGTCAGCAACTGAGTACCATATTTTGAAATTTAGTCACCATTCATCCACTATGGAATATTTAATGATTCCATTTAGCCTTGGTTCAATTTTAGCATTTGAATTTTAAATGAAACAATTGATTGATGTTTTGCTGCAGCAAAGATTTCGGTGTGGCAGGGCACCGCCGAGAAATGTTATCAGTGGAAACACTGCAGTCGCTGATATAATTGAAATTATTTTGACAATGATTTGCTTCCATATACAATTGGTAAATCTGCACTTGGATGCCGCACTCATAACAGCTAAATTCATAACATTCAGCACTGATCTTTTCCAGGTTATATTTTATACGTCCTCCCCACCCAGAAGTGAATTAACAACATATCAGATTTTTTTTCTTTCTATTTCATCTGCATTTGTTTACTTCCTTTTTCCTTTATTTCAGAGAAGCCACTCGCTGCCTGTCTCCTTCACCTCCAGAGAGTCCAGTCCAGAAACAGTCCAGACACGTCAAAAAGAAGCTCAAGTGAGTCTAGTTTCTTAGTTCAGTTCATAGTTTTAAACTGATTGAGTTATGTACTGTTTTTTTTTTTATTTATGTGGAAGAAATCATGCAATAGATGCTGTTCAAAGTACTTTACACCAAAAGGGACAGAAAAATAAAAACAAGGAAAAAAAAAAAAAGAATTATAATAAAAGTAACAGTAATTAAATTGAATGAGAGAGAAAATATTAAAGAAACAGGATCGGTATTAATAAATGTGACATGTAGGAAATACTTTTAGCTTTTAAGTTAATTATTTTACATTTAGTTTAATTTTAGAATGTTAACATTTTAAGAGAACAACATGTGGGTAGTTGGTCCTCATCTGGAGTCTGTAGGTGGGCTGCTTGTTCTCCATCCGTTTGTATGAGAACACTGAGTAGGTACAGTATGAGTTGTGACTTTTTATTTTATTTAAGTTGCAGATTTTATTTTATTTTTTTCTGGAGTAAAGGATTCTTTAAAATATTTTTGGTCAACAAAGGTGCCCTGTAGCAGCACCCAGAGTTCATAGTCTGAAACAGTGGGAATAAAAGATGAAGGAAGCTGTCCATCAGGAAGCTTAAGGCTTTATCTCCTGGCCTGTTCACTTAGCTTCATCTGGTGATTCCCTGTTATTTCACTGGCATTGAAAACTATTCTAGCCAGTCTGAACCTGCAGTTCAGGGGACAAAACCAAGATGTGGATGGCAGAGGATATGGGCAGCCATTTTTCTATATTAATAGTATTTTCAGCAATCTCCATACAGAGGCTAAAACCAACAGTTCATTTCCTCTGTGTATGGTTAACGTTTCTCAGCTGTCAGTCCTGGATCAGCTTATTTGTGTGCATGATATATCTCCGTTGTTGTTCAGAAATGATAAAAACACATTGTGGAAATGTGCTGCTGCACTGGATATCACAATTTCTCATTGCGAAATGCCAGACCGGTCTATGCTGCCCCAAAGGCTCCGAGCAGTCATAATTTCCAGAAGGTGGCACAAGTTGGAGTCAACTGTGCATGATCTTGTGCAAGCTCTCAGCTTTGTTGACATACCAGTGTGTTTCACATGCATTTTAAATTGTTTTTGACAATATGGAGGCTTATCCCACAGACAAACAAGCTGATCCAGGACTGACACGCTGACAGCCATTAACCATGAGTAGCAACTCATTGTCGGTTTTAGTTTCTTTATGGGGAGTGTTGAAAATGCTGTTAATATAGAAAATGACCGGCCTCATCCTTTAAAGCCCAAGTCTTCTAAGAAAATTAAGCCACTGTGTGCATTTCTTGTTAATAAAGTTCATATTTTCCAGAAATTGGCCATCAGGCTCTGTTGTGAAATCTTGTTTGGCACAAATAATCCCAGTTGTATCAACACTGATACCCAGTTTGTTAGAGTACGTTTGCGAAACATCCCTCTAGAGTGTGTATTTGGGCTAGATACTCAGCTTCAGTTGAGGGGTACATTTTTTTGAAGGAGACTCCTAACTAAGGCCGTGTCATCCATGTACAAAGCAACTGAAACATCCGTTGATGAGTAAGCACTGAAAGCAGCTGAAATGTCAGTTGAACTGTAAATAATGAAAGCAATTAAAATTTTAGTTTACGTTGAAGAACCAGAGATGGTTAAAGTATGTGCACTATAAATAGTGTAATTTGGATTGTAAACGGTGACAAATGGATTTGGGGGTAGTTGCATTTCAGTTGTACTCAGTTTTGACCTGTCTCTTCCTCAGTGAGATTGACAGGGAGTTCCGGGCCATGAGCTCCATCATTTCACCTGAATCTCGGGACAGAACAAGGTCCAGACAGCGTCAAGGTCCTCCGTCTCCAACGTTTGAGGAGGAACAAAATGATAAGGATGTCATCATCGTGGACCCTAACTCAGCGTCACAGAGATTACCTTACAGCACCTCAGTTCGGGAGATTCCCCTCAAGATCCGCTGCAGAACAGACGTACACAAGATCCCTGTGCTGTCTGTATGTATGCAGAGATGTCACTTGTAGAGAACTGTATCCTTTTTGTCCACTTTAGCATGTTATTTTTCTTTTTCTTTATTTTTTTAGTCAACACCTCTACGTGATGTGGTGACGCAGCTGTCCGCCATCCTTAATGTCCCTCCCAGTCGCTTGCTGTTGCTGAGGGAGGACGTGGAGCTGCCAAAAGACTCCACCATGAGTGAAATTGGCCTTGGCATTGCAGATATTATAGGTGCATCACACGACATACAAGTTATTTATTCATGTTTATTTGTATATGGAGAAGGATATAATATGAACTAATGCCACATATTGCAGCATTTATAAGCTAAGATAGAGAGGCCTTTTAAAACACAAAACTCAAAATAATAATCCAATGGTTTTTTACTTTTCTGTGCAGAGTGTGTTGTCATGGCAGCAGAGGATAAAAGCGAAACTAAAGAAAGCAGCAGCAGTGTTATCACTGTCAGACTGCAGGGCAAAGACAGAAACTCTTCACAGGAGTTTTCACTGCACAGAGTTCGTAGCTTCTTTTCTCCACATCATCAGCTTTATATTTGTTTTAGTAGCAGGACTCAAATGTCATCTATTTGTGTTTTAGAATGCACCACTGGGCCCCATCTTCTCCCAGTACTTGTCCAAGATGCCTGCCAGCGCTCAGAGAAAGGTGCGCTTCCTCTTCGACGGCTTCAAAGTGACACACAGCCAGACGCCAGCTCAGCTTGACATGGAGGACGGAGACATCATCGAAGTTTGGATTTAAGCCAAGTCATTAAATCCAATCAACAATCAACATTCTGTTTATATGGTTGTAAAAGAAAATGGCAAAAGTAAAACCATTGCTTTGGTATATCAGTTGCTAATTTGTAAAAGTCACTTTATTGTAAATACTGAAAATGCAGACAATTTAGTGTGCTGTGGAATTGTATTTTTTAGAAACTGTTCAAAATCAAAATTTAAAAACCAACAGGCATACTACTGCCTTTAAATCAATGTACAATTGTAAACTTGTAGCTACACAATTTTATCTATTTTCTATATGTTCTTTTTTTTGTTATTGAAAATAAAGGAGTAGATGTTACTCTGCGGTAATATTAGGCTTATGACTGGTAGTAGTAGTAGTAGCACAGTGCTGAAGTACTGCATTACAAGTAAATGGCCTGCATTTAAATTACTTAAATTAAATTGTAGTGGCTGTTTGTCCATAATCAATATCACACTGTAACTCAAAAGTCCACTGATGCACTACAGGGATGAAGTGTACACAGGGAAAACAAGCCTGTTATCCAGACTTCAATAAGTCTTTGTTCTGTTGTTAGTAAAAGTTAAATAATACCATATGAAAAATGCACAAAGAAGTTGCCCCTAATGTTACAGTTGTTGCTCTGATTTAAAAAAAAAAAAAAAGAAAGAAAGAAAGAAAGAAAACGAATGGGAAAATTGTCCAGATCAACCAAAGTAACTACTAAAAGAGAATTCTGTCTAAATTTCACAAGCTCCTTTGCTGAGCCCTTCTCTGCTGGAGTTCTCACTGGACAGGGGAGAGTTTTTTTCTATACAACTGCACGTCCCTTTGAAGAAGATTGCAGCCGTTCATGCCCTGATTGGCAGTTCAGATGTCCAGCTTTCTTGGAGACTGAATGGGGTCCAGAAAAAGGGCACCACCTGGAGATCCATAGTCCTGTTGGAGAACTTCATCGTTCATGTGCTCGATGGAGAAAATTGGAGGAGAGCGACTGGGAGTAACAGCCTGCCTGATCCGAACCCGAGTTGTGTTCTATTATTGGACTTCTTTGCAGTCATAGGGTTGATGGTGCCTGTCATGGTGGCAGCCTGAATTGAAGGAGGCCTTCTGGGCTCGGTTAGTGAAGGTGGCTCCTGAAGCAACTAGTAGCTACTGACAAAGCTACAACAGGTGCAAAAACATGGGTGTGGAAAGAGTTTGGGAGACTTTGGAGAAGGATTTTCATTTGACCTCGAAGTTATTGCAACTATCAGTTGAATTAGAAAAGAAAAGCAGGGCTTGGCCCAGGATATTTTTCAGCAGGGAATAAGAACTGCTAAATGTGACTGGAGTTACAAACAGTGGAAGGAACACTTTTAGGAGCTCTGGAACCCAACTAACCTGACCTCTGAGGAGGCAGAGTCTGAAGATCTGGGGAAGCCTTACTCAATAATGTATCTCTGGCAGAGGTCTCTGAAGTAGTTAAGTTTCCCTGCAATGTCCAGATCTAGAAGTCACTGGACACAGTGGGTCTGTCTTGGCTAACATCTTCATTTTCACATGAAGGACAGGGAGAGTGCCTGTAGACCCGCAGACTGAGACATATCGCGTTCACAAGAATCATACAGATGGAGAACCCTAAAACAATGGCTCCGGCCAAGGGAGTTGCCAGCATGGAGGCATAAAAATAAGGTTAATTAAAATGTACAATATGCTATAGGAAACATGAATTTCTGCAGCAAATGTCATGGCAATTCAAGAAACGGTTAAGATATTTCACTGTGAACAGCAAATGTCAACCTCATGGTGGCAGTAGAGAAAAAGTCAGAGGACAAAATCAATATCTGCACCAAATGTCATGGCAATGAATCCAGCAGTTGCTGACATATTTCAGTCTGGAAAAAGTGGTGGACTGACTGACAGACCAACACAATATGGCTGAAAACCATCACAAACAGTACTCCAACACATTTACACATTATACACATCACACCCTGGACAACTTTCTTGTCACAGTGTTTGGTTCTCATGGAAACTGTTGCTAGTGTCAATATTAATTAAGTTAATGATTGTTCTTTTGTGGGTGAGTTCTGAAATATAAACACAGATTTCTGATAACGATTTTTCTTAAGGTCAGGTTTCATCTGCAAACTACTGTGTTGTATGTGCCAATGTACTTAAAAAATGTAGTGACCACATCACATCACATCACAGAAAACCACAAGTTTCAGTTCATGTAGAACAAAATCCCCAAAGGTATTTGTGTTCCACGTTTGTAGTTACCACCACATCATCGCTAATAATTTTTAGATCCATCATTAGACAGGAATGAGGTTGCAGTGGTTTGCTTGTTAAAAAGGTTAACACTTCATATAGTTAAATTGATATATCATCTATCTCTCCAGCTTGAGAATGTGCAGTTTGGAAGTCTGTCAGTGTAAATATTACGATTCTGTTAGAAGAAAGTCTTTATACAGACTTTACACTGACACCCTAAAATGCTATTCAATCAATCAGTGGAAACACACACTTTAAGTGGAAACTTGCATTATATTATCTCCATATAACAGTAACTATACGTCCATGGTACACACCAATGTTTAGTCTCCGGTTTAACGACCGGTATTGTCATGTGATGTTCAAATTAGAAAGTCATGTGAGCTGCGTAGCGGAAGTTTGGTCAGTTGCATCATGGCGGTGGTGAGGATGGTCTTTTCTTAAGTGTTCAGCAGTAAATGCATGGTTTTATTTCGCGTAATCCCGACAGGCAGTGTCCACGGGGAAACTTTTTATTGTAAAGTACCAACATGGGTCTTGAATAGCATTCACAGCTGTATGTAACGACGAAAGGAATAAGGACTGGTGACAGTGAGAAGAAAGAAGCGTCAAGCCTGACTCATCCTCCCAGGTAAACAATACCAAGCAACAGGATACCAATCTTTGTACGTATTCTTAACACGCAATTATTAGGCTTATAAGTCACCCAACGTTGTGCCAGTGTGGCATTTCATTATATTTCTTTACCTTAGACGTGATTTTCCTCCCGTTCTTTCATTGCGATTTGCACTAAACCGTCGTGGATAATAAGATAATGTATGAAAGTTAGTTAAATTTCCATTTAAAAGGAAATGCTTTTGGTGTCCATATAAGTATTTAAGTTATTTTATTTAAACCCTTAAATGCCACGTGTTAATTATAAAAGGTGTTTGGTGTAAAACGCTGCATAAAACTGACAAAATCCTTAAATGGAGTCTGGCGTCAGTAATTTCTGTTGCCATAATTATCTGCCAGATTTATCAGAATATTGCTAAATGTCCCCCGACTTACCTCCTCAGTTAAAAGCAAAAGACCTTATAAACCTTACCAATTTGAGTCTGGAGCCCTGTTCTCAGTGACACTTCTTTCTTTTAACATTTGACATTGACACTTTTGATTTGTCAGCAGAAATGATCAGAAGCTCACTGTTTTAAGTAGTATTTCATATAGGCTACCTCAAAAGATATATAGTACTGTTGCTTTGTTTAAAGTACCTAACATGTCTCCCAAATGAATCATTAACTCCCTTTAAATGTTTTTTTGTTTGTTTTGTTTTTACCTTTGTTTATTCAGGAGATTTCAAGCCTCTTTTACAAAGGAGACCTGGCCAAAATGGCAGAATTTGCAAACACACTCAGTTAAATATAACACAATCACATAAAAAGACGATCATTACAACTCTTTACAATGCCCCACTAAGAATTTCAGAGATATGTGGTAAATGAGACAGATGCCAATGAGTTTTCCATGGTCTGCCATACCAGTTTGGCCAGTTAAACTTTTCCAGTATTCCAGGCGGAGAATGAGAAGGTCTTCTTTCCCATCTCTGTCCTAGCATATGGAGTCATGAGCTCATATCTGTCCTCTGATCTTATGTTAGAGTTGGATGAAAAATTTCGAACAATAAATTTACAAAGATACCGGGGTAACTTCCCGTGAATGTCTTTATAAATAATGTACCAGTAACTTACCCGGCGCATGGCAAGAGGAGACTGTCCCACTCGAGAATACAGGATACAGTTGTGACTCAGTGGTTCAGAATTTGTCATAAACCTTTAGGCACATTGTCCAATTTACAGATGTTCAAGGTAAACTTGATTTTCCCCACAGGGCAATTTGTGTTGCAGTAAGCAGTCATAAAACCACACAGTCAACACACATACAATAAAAACACATCACAAGAAGATTGAGGGGGAGGGTTGAATCATGTAGTACTACTCAGGAGGGCAATGGTAGCTGGGACAAATGAATTGTATTCTGCAAAAAGAGGGTGGCTATCATCGGCCATAACTGCCCAAGCTTTCCTCACAGCTCTGCTTCTGTATAAAAGGAAAATTCATCAAAATTTGTGCCAGCAATTTTACTGCACATCCTCCAAATGTTGTCCAACCTCTTCTTGTTTTTTAAATTGAGAGACACAAACCAACAAATAAATTTAAAAAAAAGTTCAAATGGACTCAATCAAACAAGGGTAAAACTGTTTCATAAAAGAAGTATCATTCAAATCCATAATCATGAACAGAGAGAACGATGGCAGAAACCATCTATATTCTGGCTTCCAATGAGAAACAAGATTTATGTCTTAAAATAAAATCCCAACAGTCTTAATTTCTTTACCAGATTTTCAATATGTTGTTTAAACAAAAGGCAATTTACAAGCCACATACCAAGGTACTGTGTTTGTGAGAGGAAAAGACTTCAGTCGTCTTCCCTTCAGCCGACACGATGTCTACTAAATCCATCTTTGCTGTTTGAGAAAACCACCAGGTTAGATTTATCAGCACTCAGTATAAACTTTAACTGAGAAACTTGCAAATCATTTCCCAGTCATTAAAGAGTGAAGTTATATTTGTTACAAAACAAGGCAACTAAAAATGTAAGAATTTTTCCTCTGAAGCCTGTTATTAAAGGCCAGCTAACTGTCGGTATCGTTAACAGTGGCAGCTTCCTTTATTTGTGCGTACACACCACTCCAGAGTGAGACCACAGCAGCGCCACTGTGGGTCTGATCAAATGGATAACTGTTTAATCAGTGGGTTGTTTACACTGGGGGCAAAGTTCAAGACGGGTAAATAATTTGGTTTTATAGACTGAGCTCTTGTCTGTCTTTTCTTTGTTCATTGGCCAAATCCAAGTAGGGATCTACAGTAATTTCCTTTAATCACTTAATGTCTCTGTATGAATGTGAAGTAAAAAAAAAAAAAAAGTCGTTATCATTTAATGTTGTCAGAGATTGAACTTCTAAACACTTAACAATATATCTTGTTTTGTGCTGACCTTATGTCCAAAATCCAAAGATATTCAGTTTCTTGTCACTGAAAAAAAAATCCCATATGTTTATACAAGTCTGAAATGTATTAATAAAAATGTTATCAAAATAGTATTTGTTCGGCCTTTCTGTGTATCAACTAATTGTTTGATTATTATCTAAAGACAATAACATAAAGTAACAGAAATAATAAATACACCACTGTATAACCAATAGTTAATATGAATTAATTAGTTAATTAATTAGTGTCTCATTACAAATGTCTCTAAAGGAAACGTGTTCAGTGATACCTTGTATGTCAGTAAAGTGTTTGCATGAGGAAGTACAGCTTGTTCACCAACATCAGCAAACTGCCTCTGTCATGAGCTCCTCTCCCTCCTGAGTGGACAAAAAACAGCCTTGCATTGATGCACAAGTTGGAGTAATCACATGGTTGTAGTTTCACGAGGTCATACCTACCATGGCTTCTCCTTTCGCTGCATCTTCCTCTTCTTATACTCAGGATATTCTGCAGCAAGCAAAGAAGCTTAAGGGAACTAATATTTACATCAACGAAGATTACCCCGAGTCTGTGAGGAAGAGAAGAAGAGAGTTGATGCCGATGTTAAGAGCGGCTAGGGTGAGAGGAGAAATCGCGTTTCTGGGATACGACAAATTAGTGACCCGACCTCGGAACCAGAATCCTGGACCCATGACCAGCTCGCCAAGGCAAGGAGAGTATGAAGGGGCCGCTGGACCCTCAGCGGTGTGAAACATGCAGGTATATTGATATCTGCGATGGCAGATGAGCTCTGGAACCAACAACAACAAGCATGACCCATGGACGATATGAGGCAAGTGATTTGTTACAGAAGTTAATAGTTTTTGAGGGACTGGATCTGGAACTGAACACATATGGAGACACTGAAATTCATTATCATGAAC